TACCTCTGGATACAAACTTAATTCGTTCCAGGAGTCCGTTCTTACCCCCAAAACATTTGCATCCAGAGGCGTGCTGTTCTGTGCAGGTGCTGGTGGCGGTAGCCCGCTTCTGCGCAGGTGGCGGAAAACTTTCCTTTACTTCTGGGTTTGCCGCATGTGTAGCCCAAAGCATTCCCAAAGGGGGCGGTTCGTATCCAGACGTACCACTGTACATGCCTTTAATTCCTAAGCAACCAGATGGCTCTGACAATTCACAGCTTTGAGACATCATTAATATGCAAGATGATGCATATGTATTCATCATATAAATCTATTTGAATTGGCTTTTAGAGCTCTCTCTGAGTGTTGTGGAATATATATGATTAGTTTTTGTGTGCAGTGTAGACCATATACAGAACTGTGCTTTTTTATATACTGTATTTTTCGCACCATAGGACGCACTTTTTCCCTCCTAAAAAGCAAGGGAAAATGTGTGTGCGTCCTATGGAGCGAATGCAGGCTTTCGCTGAAGCCTGGAGAGTGAGAGGGGTCGGTGCGCACCGACCCCTCTCGCTCTCCAGGCTTCAGGAAGCTATCCGCTAGCCGTGGGAGACCCAGTTCTCCCACGAATAGCGGAGCGCTGCATTAATCCCGAAGCTTGGGGCGTGCGGAGCTCAGCGCGCTTCAAGCTTCTGGGTGCTGGCAAGGTCTCCGCTATATATACGGTATATATAAAAGAAGTCTAGCGGAGACCTTGCCGGCACCCAGAAGCTTGGGGCGTGCTGAGCTCCGCACGCCCCAAACTTCGGGATTAGCGCTCCGCTAGCCGTGTCTAGGCTGCGGATAGCAGCCTGCTTCCCGGAGCGTCGGGCGCCCTGAAAGCAGAGCGCCCCTCGCACCGGGCAGACTTCCGCAGCATGGGGAGCCTTGCAGGAGTTCCCCGCAGGGCTCCCCACGCTGCAGATAGCAGCCTGCCGCCCGGCGCGAGGGGCGCCCTGAAGCAGAGCACCCCTCGCGCCGGGCAGACATCCGCAGCGTGGGGAGCCTTGCAGGAGTTCCCCGCAGGGCTCTCCACGCTGCGGATAGCAGCCCGCCGCCCGGCACGAGGGGTGCCCTGAAGCAGAGCGCCCCTCGCGCCGGGCAGACATCCGCAGCGTGCGGAGCCTTGCAGGAGTTCTCCGCAGGGCTCCCCACGCTGCAGATAGCAGCCTGCCGCCCGGCGCGAAGGACACCCTGAAGCAGAGCGCCCCTCGCGCCGGGCAGACATCCGCAGCGTGCGGAGCCCTGCAGGAATTCCCCACAGGGCTCCCCACGCTGCGGATAGCAGCCTGCTGCCTGGCGGGTGGGGCCCGCTGAAGCAGAGCGCCCCGCGCGCCAGGCAGACATCAGCCAGCCCCACAAGCTCGGGGGACAGCAGGGAGGCGCAGCGCCACTATCCCGCTGTTCCTCGACCTGGTTCGGTTTCCCTGACCTGGTTTGGGGGGGGAAATAAAGGGAAATTTTTTTCCCCTTTATTTCCCCCCCCCAAAAAAAAAAACTAGGTGCGTCCTATGGTCCGGTGCGTCCAATCGTGCGAAAAATACGGTATATATAAAAGAAGTAAATAATAATGTTTTCTCTGTTTGGAAAAAAACTAAATCACAAGAAGGAAGGAATTGTATTGGGGGAAGGAGAATTGTTCTGCTTTGTTCTTTCCTGAGAAGGCCTTGTTTGGGTGGAAATAATTGAATTTTCCCATTTAATAAAAACTGAATATTGAAATTTACTTCTTAACAGTACAGTTGGCTTGACTATATTGTCTGTGCAGCTCAGATACTGAACTGTGGAGGGAAAGACTTCTGAAGTTTGGTCAAATTGAAAAGATGGCAGCATTTTACTTCATCTGTCCTCTATTTGCCATTTTCTGTAGATTTTAAATTATTTCAAAATAAAAAAGGCTTTTGTGTCTTCCAATATCTGAGAACTGATGAAGCGGGAAACATTAATGTGATTAATTTGGCAGAAAAGATAACTCTAATGCTTAATACTGTATACTTCTGATTTTTTTGTATTGAAACTTGACTGTTAATACAGCAACTTATATTAGATAATTCCTTTTATATCTCCTTTATTTTAAAAGACAGTTTATTTATCTAATTGTTATATTTCTCTACTACCTCTCATGCAAGGTGATCACAGTAGCATATGTGGCCTTCCTATATAAGCTCCCATCCAGGTACCAGCCTAACCCAAAAATGGAATTACCGGTATATCAGGTGCTTGCAGATAATATTCTGTGCTGGCTGTAATATACCAACAACTGATGACCAGCAAAGCCAAATGCAGTCCACCAGCTAAATATAACATCCCATTATAATCTCCATAAAACACCTGTTTTTGCATGCTTGAGATAGCCATAATATAGAGACTATCCAGCATCTGCCAAACAATAATATGGACCTGGTGGGCTATGCCTGGTTGTGTAAGTTGCAAGTCAGTGCCCTCTGCTTTTGGTACAGGTGTCGTCATCACTCACTCCAGTACCAAACTCTGGTGATCCCATGCCTATTGGTTTGGAAGCAAAATGGAGCCTGAAATATTTTCACCTAGGAGGAAAGGCTGCAGCTTTGGGAACTTTTTAGTTTAGAAAAAATACGAGTAAGAGGTGAAATGATAGAAGTTTATAAAACTATTAATGGTACAGAAAAAGTGGATAGAAAAGTTTTTTTCTCCCTCATAACACTAGAACTTGTGGACAAGCAGTGAAGCTGAATGTTAGAAGATTCAAGACAGATAAAAGAAAGCAATTCATGTAGCTCCTAGGTAAACTGTGGAACTTGCTCCCATAGGAGGCAGTGATGACCACCAGCATGGATAGCTTTAAAAGAGAATTGGACACGTTCATGGAGGAAAGGGTTATCAATGGCTACTCTGCCTCCACAATTGGAGGCAGAAATGCTTCTGAATACCAGATGCTGGAAACCACAGGAAGGGAGAACGCTCTTGTGTTTGCGTCCTGCTTGCAGGTTTCCCACAGGCGTCTAGTCCCATGAGAACAGGAAGCTGGACTACATGGGCCATTGGTCTGATGCAGCAGGCTCTTCTTATGTTCTTATTGAGTCATAAATAAAAAGAGAGGTGTATTTAAAAAGAGAAGGGGGAGCAAGGGCTTATGTTCAATGACTTACAGATCTGTGGAATATTGGGAAGGGGAGAACACAAGAGCTAAGAGCATGCATAGACAAACTAAGACCCTGGGGCCAGATCCGGCCAATCACCTTCTAAATCCGGCCCGTGGACAGTCCGGGAATCAGTGTGTTTTTACATGAGTAGAACGTGTAATTTTATTTAAGATGCATCTCTGGGTTATTTGTGGGGCCTGCCTGGTGTTTTTACATGAGTAGAATGTGTGCTTTTATTTAAAATGCATCTCTGGGTTATTTGTGGGGCATAGGGATTCATTCATCCCCCCACACCCCAAAAAATATAGTCCGGCCCCCCACAAGGTCTGAGGAACAGTGGACCGACCCATGGCTGAAAAAGTTTGCTGACCCCTGGCTAAGGGGGTATGACTGGCCTGCTTGAATTGCTAACAATGTATAGTATATAGTGTACTAGAAGATCATTTATGGTTAGGGATGTGTGCTGTGAGGTTAAAAAACATCTATTTGTTCTTTGAGGTGGTTTCCAGAACACCACTTCTTTTCCATTTGTTATACAGCAATAAGGTGCTTGGGATCAAGGCTGGCAGCCAGCACAGTGTGTAGAAAAGGTTTCAGGGTGGTAGGAAATAAAGGTTTCCTCTCCCTACCCCTCCCACATGAGACCTGAACAGTTTTACATGGCTTCACACTTGTTCCTACAAAGCATTAGGGCAAATGACCATTTAACAGTTCAATAAATTAACTAGAAAATCTTTACCATAACCATAAGGAAAAGAATGTTTTTATGGCTGCTAATGTGCATTAACGAGGGACGTGGGTGGCGCTGTGGGTTAAACCACAGAGCCCAGGACTTGCCGATCAGAAGGTCGGCGGTTCGAATCCCCACAGCGGGGTGAGCTCCCGTTGCTTGGTCCCTGCTCCTGCCAACCTAGCAGTTCGAAAGCACGTCAAAGTGCAAGTAGATAAATAGGTACCGTTCCGGCGGGAAGGTAAATGGCGTTTCCGTGCGCTGCTCTGGTTCGCCAGAAGCGGCTTAGTCATGCTGGCCACATGACCCGGAAGCTGTACACCGGCTCCCTCGGCCAATAAAGCGAGATGAGTGCCACAACCCCAGAGTCGGTCACGACTGGACCTAATGGTCAGGGGTCCCTTTACCTTTACCTTTAATGTGCATTAATAGCTTGCAATAAAGCAAATAACTTTAGTTTGGCAAAAGTTGTTGTTTTTCTTTCACCTAGCAGGTTTTGAAAGGAAAACACTTGAGATAGGCTATCTCTAAACCACAAAAGGAAGGAACCTCAGTGTATTGCAAGATCATCTGAAACCCGTTGCATCTGTAATGTTGCATGACATACAAGTTTGCTTCAGCAATACTTGGGATCAACAGTGCTGCTTAAAGCATTTGTTCAGATTGTGTTTCCTTTCCTTGCCTGTCCAGCTCTGCACTCAGTGTACTCTTTCAAGGCTTGATTCCCAATCAACTAGGAGGTGAGAGTCCTTAAGATTTCTGATACGAACAAGTGTTAGTAGCTTTGGATCACTGAAACTGCTAATTGCAAAATTATGTAGAGAAAACGTTCACTAGCAAACTACCTACTCACAAACTTGTCAGTTTAGTACTACTACATGTAACAACACTACACAAGTCACATCCCACGTTACTTTGAATTTAACATTTCAGATGTATGTAAAAGGGAAAGTCTTATTGCTGCATGTAAAAACTATTGTTTGCTACTGCTTGTATTTTTCGGTCTCAACAATGTATAGATTGTATGCAGTGTAAGTTACTGTGCATGTCAATGGACTGCTTTCAATCTTTAAAGCACCAGGCATTTTTAAGTTCTGATTTATAAGTACTTCTTTTTGTGGCTCTTGCAGGTTACACCATACACCAGAAGACATGGACAGCAGCAGTTTAATCCAGTTTGACGTTCCGGAGTACAGCAGCACCGTACTGAGCCAATTGAATGAGCTCCGCCTGCAGGGAAAGCTTTGTGATATCATTGTGCATATTCAGGGTCAGCCGTTTAGAGCTCACAAAGCTGTCCTAGCTGCCAGTTCTCCATATTTCCGTGACCATTCTGCATTAAGTACCATGAGCGGCCTCTCAATATCAGTTATTAAAAATCCCAGTGTCTTTGAACAGTTGCTTTCTTTTTGTTACACTGGAAGGATGTCTTTGCAACTGAAGGATGTTGTTAGCTTTCTAACTGCAGCTAGTTTTCTGCAGATGCAGTGTGTCATTGATAAGTGCACACAGATACTTGAAAGTATCCATTCAAAGATCAGTGTCGGTGAAGTTGACTCTGTCACTGTTGGTGCTGAAGATGCTCCAGAAAACCACAACGGTGTTAAAGATGACAGTTATTTTGCCAATCCAGTGGAAATCTCTCCTCCCTATTGCTCTCAGGTGCGGCAGTCTACTTCAGGCAGTGATTTAAGAATGGAAACAACTTCCAACAAATCTTTCCGTAACCGTCTACAAGAAGAAGGGCACTCAGACCGTGGTAGTAGTGGGAGCATTTCAGAATATGAGATTCAGATTGAAGGTGATAATGACCAAGGGGACTTGGTAGTCAGAGAGAGCCAGGCTGCTGAGGTGAAAGTTAAAATGGAAAAATCTGACCGGCCAAGTTGCTCAGATAGCTCTTCTCTTGGTGATGATGGATACCACACTGAAATGGTGGACGGCGAGCAAGTAGTCGCTGTTAACATTGGCTCCTACAGTTCTGTATTGCACAATGCCTACTCTCTATATTCCCATGGCTCATCCCAATCTGCTAATGCACCTGACACCTTTGGAAGCCTAAGAAACTCAAGCTCTTCAAGATCCATGCTAGGTTCTCTTAGAGGCCGTGGCCGTCAAAAACGGATCTCTACTAGCTACTTGCATAGTGATGTTTCAGCACAAGGAGCTGATGGAGAATCTGCAGCGAATCACCCAGGTTATGAAAACAGTCCACGGGAAAGGAATTCAAGAGGTCACTGGTATGCATACAGTGAAAGATTAATCTGTATATACTGTGGGAAGTCTTTCAACCAGAAAGGGAGTCTTGATAGGCACATGAGGCTGCACATGGGAATAACCCCCTTTGTGTGCAAATATTGTGGGAAGAAGTACACGCGCAAGGACCAACTCGAGTACCATATCCGTGGCCACACAGATGACAAACCTTTCCGCTGTGAGGTCTGTGGAAAATGTTTCCCTTTCCAGGGAACTTTAAACCAGCACCTGCGAAAGAATCATCCTGGTGTAGCAGAAGTAAGAAGCAGAGTTGAGTCTCCAGAAAGAACAGAAGCCTATATCGAACAGAGAGATGATGATGCTTCAGCCTCTGAAACGCTGGATTATAGCATGGATATACAGACATCTGATTAAAATTTACTGCGTCCCTCAGTGCAACTCAAACAAAGCACATTGATCAACACATTTCCTTCTCGTTTCTTTGATAAGTTTTGTAACAGGTATAACAGCATTGTCATTTTCCTGATTTTGCAAGTCTTCTGGTCCCTGTTCCTGGACAGAAGGCTACTGACTTTTTTTCTTTTCTTTGGAAGGAAGTAGGTTTAGCTTTACTCCTAAAAATGTTTATAAAGAACATAATATTTTGCAAACAATACATGAAGAAGGAGGGAGGCTGGGGCTTCAACAAGATACTAAAAACAAGCAGATACGGCCGAATAGTATAGCCTCTCCTTTTGTGCTTTGTGCAGCCTAATCCTATGTAGGTATACTTGGATGCAAGCCCTACTGAATTCAATAGGACTTGCTTCCAGTAGTGTGCTAGGATGGCAGCCTTAACAAACATGTTATGTAGGAGCATAAGGTATACCTCCCAGAGTCCCATCTATGTGTCATACTAAATTGTGGGTTTGGGTGGGTGTTTATTTGTTGTTGTTTGAATAACTATTTTGATAGCTTTGAATTTTATATAATATATATTATATATAAACATATATACAATGTTCACTTTTTCTCTTTTGGTTGGGGTGAATGTAGAAGTATCTTAAATGGAAAGGAAAAAATCCTCTCTATAAAAGGCTTTCAACTTTTAATCTTCTCTTTAGGGTTTTTTCCTGCTTTTTCATGAAGCTTTGCTTTCCCCCCCCCATGTTCATATATTGTGTCCAAAAGTGAGCAATGCTTTGAAATAACTTTGCTCAATAGCATGCATAAACCAAATGCCATAATTGTATTAACTTTACAATGGGGATTGTTTGGGTTTTTTGTCTAGAATATAAACTAGACAACCTGTGGTGCTGCCCCTTTTTTATATAGAAATGTGTTGTTATACTAGCCAACCCAAAAGTAGCATTGTGGTTTTAAATGTTTTTACTATCCTCAGAATCTACCTTCATTTCGTACTGTAGAAAGCATACCAGGTAAATCAGTCTTACTTTAATCACTCTGATTATATATAGTTGGTTTAAAGAAGGCTAAGCAGGACGTTGCAGTCATTTCTGCAATATTTCTGTACAGTGTTCTAGTGAATCACTTCCACAGAGCTGTTTTCAGGTGCGCCATAACTTCCGATTTACCATTTTCAAGTGAAATTAAAGCACTTGTATTTTTACTTTTTGTAACAATGCCATGCGGGATTTATGAGCAATATATCTTATTGTATTAGAGAAGTTCTTTTGGCTTCTCCATGATTTCAACAGCTGCTCAGTATTTTATTTTTCATAAAGAGCCAATGACAAACAAATTTACACATCCTTTTAGAAATTATTATTTTTTCTCCTTCAGACGTTTGGTATCTTTCTAAAGTGGTGCTAACTTTTTTCTATTACATCCATAATAGATATAAAAAAATGTGAAACCTTACTATAGTGGAATCACAGATTTTTCCAGTTATTTATCTGCCTGAAAACACCTCACAAAAGTGTGAGCTGGCAAATAATTGCTGTATGAAAACTCTTATCAAGTAAATAGAATACAGATGTTTGTGAATAATATTTTTAGTACGTATATATACTTGGATATATTTATGCTTGGCAGAATGAGAAACTTCTTGGTAGATATATTCATCAGGATAGAAAGCTGTTAGTGACAGAAGCTGCATGACAAGAGAGACCCCTCCCCCCCGCCCTCCACCCAGCTGTCTCCTCTCCTGGTTCTGCTTCAGTTTCTGCCTTATATTCCCTAAGCTAGTGCTGCTGTAGCTTTAAGGTTTCCTGGCAGAGCAGTACAGAGGCATTAAAATTATGCTGGAACAAGCCTGGGCAGTGAGGCACAGTGAGATGCTTACTTGGCTGGTAGCCATCAAAAAGGATCCTTCTGCAGGTACTGTATATGGAATTATTGGAACCCGTTTTCTCTTTATTAGAGTTTTAAATCTTCACCCACTTGTAGGAGCATTCTGTTCCCTCTTAAAACAAATTGGATGTTTGCTTCTTTCCCCACTGAGTGAAATAGAGAGCGCTGCACAAAAATTTGTTGACACCTCTCCCAGATAGGATATTCAGAATGTGTGGATTTCTTGCTGCCTTCAAGATTTTGTGTGTTTGTAATTTAATGTGTTGACTTTTGAATCTGAGCCTCTGTTCTTAATTCTTGTATGATTCCCTAAATTTCTCACAACTGTGAATTTTAATCACATAAAAGTGTATGGGTTTTCTTAATAGGAAGTCATAATCCTTCAAAATTCTAATTCTTCAGGAGCTACTTCTATTTTTCACTTATATTCTGTGATTTAAAACACTGAGAAAATAGCTGTGGTTATACTATGGGTGGCTGATAGATACAGTGTTTGGAGCTTTTGAAGATCTGTACAAAGTGTTCCATAAAAAGTACTTTAGCTGGAGAGCAAGTGATTTATACAATTTGTAACCAGCACCCCATATCAGCTTTCATTTTCCAAATCACTTAAAAAGAATGAAGCTTGGATGCTTGCAGTGGTTTTGAGGGCTTGCAGCTTTGTTTGAGATTATAAAAGAATAGACTTCTGCAGTATTTTTAGAATGGACTTTTCTTTACTGTTTATCAAAGCCAATAATAAGGATTAATGTTAACAGTAAATCAGGTTTGTTCTCTAGACGCAGTTTTAGTTAGACAAAATGATCATCCTTTTCCTACTATAGCTGCCTAAGAGATTCTTTCCCAGGGAAACACTAACTTCCCTCCTTTTCCCTTTCTACTATTAGTATAAACAAGGGCTGGAGCCCCAGAAAAGCCAATTTCAGTGCACATTCCATATGTGCACACAGGCCTTTCCTGCTTTCTGACTTCCTACTACAGCCCCCACCCCACCCCCATCCACTTCTGAGGATCAGGAGGCTAGAGCGGTGTAAAATGAAATGGGAGGGATGCAGCTGGGCAGGTAGAATGGAATTGGTGACAGACCCATCCCAAGCATGCAGAGAAATGCTTTTCACAGGCCTCTGGATTTCCAGCCTGCTTCAGGGGAGGGTACATGTCTGTCCATTCATTCTTATAACACATTAAGATACAAATCAATTTTATTCTACCTTTTGATATGCTTACATTTGAGACCATCAAACAAAAGTCTGGACATGCAGAGTTAAAAATGTAACCCTTTACAGTGCACCTGTGCTGTGGTGCCTTTTAAGCCACTTGGGTTTACGCCATAGTAGTATTAGTCAAGGAAAGAGGGGAAAGGCAGTTAACTTTGTATTTCCCTGACTTTTGTCTCTGTGTCAATCTTAAAAGTTGTTTTAAATATAGTTTTTGAATCTGTAAACATGGTTGAACTGGTTTGAGTTTACCAAAGAGTGACTTAACATAATTTTGGATATTTTTGATTGTACAGCTTTCAGGTTCAAATGTTGTGGTGGAACTGTTAAAAGCCTAGGAGTTATCAATCTCCTGACTTTCGAGAGATTTTTGAGTTCCATATACTCATTCATGTTGATGGCCAAATTCACATAATGCTAAATCATGGTTTAGTGCTGTGCACATGAGCCACAGCAAGTCCAAACAAAGCCGTGGGCACCTATACTTCTCCCTCTGATTTCCATGCAGCTGAAAAGACTTATGCAGCATTTAGCTTCACTTTCACAGAATCACTGGTGGTGATTTAAAATAAGCTCTGGTCAGTTTCTAAAGAAGGCAACTTCAAACCATAGAAAGTAGGGACTGCACTGCCCATTTTGCACAAAGCTCTAAGCTACTGTTCAGTGTAGCATGAGAACAAGACCGGTATGTTTTTCCTCTTCCTGCTGCCTATCGGGGTTCAAAATTATCAAGCCATAATATAGTACTGTAAAGATCAAGAGCTTCACTGGACATGTAGGCAGCTCTAGAGATCTAATCTGGAGTAGTTAACTTGCATATCTTCCATTTGTTTCCCTGAATTTGAAATGTGCCTAAAGGCCAGTTCACAGAAGACACAAGCCACCTTGAACACCCATTTGGTGAAAAGGTGGGATATAAATCTAGCACACAAATACAGTGGTACCTCGGGTTAAGAACTTAATTCATTCCGGAGGTCTGTTCTTAACCTGAAACTGTTCTTAACCTGACGCACCACTTTAGCTAATGGGGCCTTCTGCTGCCACGCACCGCTGGCGCACAATTTCTGTTCTCATCCTGAAGCAAAGTTCTTAACCCGAGGTACTATTTCTGGGTTAGCAGAGTCTGTAACCTGAAGCGTCTGTAACCTGAGGTACCACTGTAAATGGTGTTCTCATACACTCTGTAGGTGCATTTGTGTAAACAATGCAATATTCATACAAGGCAATTATAGGAGGTGCAGAACTGCAGACATGTGCAGTTTTCTATTTTAGTGGTAGTCCCATGTCCCATTTTCACCCCACCCCACATGCAGCATCTATCCTAAGTTGATGCATCATCACATTATGCATTCCCCTCCACATCATCAATGGGTGAAGATACAGCACAACATTACACACTGTGTGTACACATTTCTGAAGGAATTTGACATAGGAATACTGTTTTAGCATTCTACCCACACTCAGCAGTACCTCCGGAGATTGTAGCAGCTGGCAAAATGCTGTTTGATTGGAGGAGCTGCTGGCTTCCTGTAGCCTCCCAGTTCCCTGTCTCAGTTGTCTACATTAGTGCACAGTGTCTGTAAAATGGCTGGGGATTGCCTGTGTGTAGGGCAGAATTTTTTGTGTTGAAGCAGCTTTTGTCTTCCTTGGATTTTGCCCTAGATGTGCTGCAACACACAAGAGACTAGCAGACAAAGCTTCAAGTCAGGCAGCAGCATCTAAATCGTGCCTTGTCACATTATGGTTCCATGGTAATGGGGTGCCATCTTTTTATCCTTTGAAATTCATATCTTATGTCCACCAGGATGAAAAGCATGCAGTGAATTATTTTAGGTGAATTCTGAAAATACTGTGCAGTACTGATTGCTGTACAGTTTTGATTAGTGTGCAACTGTTAGTGTATTTCATTTAAAATGAACACAAAAGCCAAGAAAACCAGTAAGATTAAATATTGGGTTGAAAATATGTGAAATCATGCAGGCTGGTTCATAATTGAGTCTCTCAAACTACCTTTTTAGCTACATAGACAATGTGAAGAATAATAAAAACAGTGACAGTGTCATTTTTTTCTCCTCTAGATGTTTTAACCTATTTACAAACTGTGAAAAACAAAAATAAATTTTATACTTTTTGCTAATATTTGTGGTTTTAAGCAGCTGTTATTTTTTTCTTAACTGGTTTATCTTCCATATAATTTCTATTGAAGTTGTAAATAAGACTCAGAAAATAGCTTTGTAAATACGTGAGATTTTTTTTTTTTAAAGCAACGCAGCGCCTCACAGTTGGTTCTGTATTCAAGTGTGAATGCTTTTAATGGCAGAAAGGATACTGTCTTTCACTGTTGGCAGAATTTACTGTTTAAGTTGAAATCAGGGATGCTCATCTTAAGGGGAGACATGTGGAATTTCAGTAGCCTCTAGCCAGCCCTTTATTTATGCTTTGCAGCATAATAAGTTACCAGATTTGTCCATGTCTTGCTTATTTAGAGTTGTTGCAGACCTGACCTCTTTTTAGCCACAGTTCAGAGGTCAGGAGCAAAATCTCACCACACCACCTTGATCCTGGCCAAGAGCAATGTTTGAATTGATGTTAATTATGAATAAGACTATAACCAGGTTTCCATCTGGTTCTTAACCTGGCTAGTTCAGCATGGTTAAAGCTAGTCAAGGCTCTTAATCATAGTTAAGTGGGAGGGGATAATGTGCACTCCTCTCAAGAGCAAAATTCAGCAGTCCACACATACACACAATTTCTTTTAACCATGGATAAATGTTCTTTTTACATATGCATCACCCCACAATGGCACAGACACCATGCATGTGGGAAAGAGCCAATTACCTACATGCAGGGTTGAGATTAAAGTGCACATAAACCACCTCTGGGATTGAGCACTCCTAGCCTAAATTGGATTATTTACAAGTCTCTTTTAAGGTTCCCAGAATAACTAAATATATTCTGAAAGTCATTTATTTCTGGTCAGAATTAAGTTGTTTTGATGTACCTGTTATGTAACATAAGATTAGCACGAATTTTTAAACAAGGGCTGGGAGAAGAGGGTGTGACAGAGCTTTATCTTGACTGAAATCTATCTTATTTGAAATGTATGTTTTTAGTTTACTGTGACTTCTGTTTTATTTTTGTCATCTGAAAGGGTTTCATGTTGAAGCCACTGAAAAGGGACTCAAATATGCAACACCTAATCTATTTTCTAAGGGAATTTTACCCTTGAATGGTGCTTTTAGACTGGTCAGGGTTATTTATTAAATTTTTATATATTTTAAAGTATTTGGGAATTGTGTAAATCCTTTATATATATAATATATAGTATATATATATATATGAATGAGTCTATTTAGTTCCATGAATTGTAAGCAACAGTAATACTCAGCAACTGAACCCAAAGTTCAGTGAAGTCATTCAGAATGTTCAGAGTTTGGCAGTCATGCATCTCTTTTTTCAGTTAAATACCCTTAAAGGACTTAAAACTATACAGCCTGTTGCGCTCTCAGACATCCTTAAAATGGTGCATTAAATCACTTATGCAAGCTTACATAATAAATGCTAAATGGAAATTGGGTCTGAGAGAGTTGTTCTGTGTCCCTACTTTGAGATATGGAGCAAAGTGTCAGTAACATGGCTGTGGTTATAACCTTTATAAATACCTGCTTTTAAGACACAGGACACAGCTGTCCTACTGTCAGCATGCTGCAGTGGTTTTCAAAATTTTCAAAGGTTTACTCAGAGTAGATCCATTGGAATGAATGGGCCCCAGTTAACCCAAATGACTAACATTGAATACAACCCTGTGCTCTGGAGAACCCTTGCATTCCCTAGAAGTTTGGGGCTCTTCCGTGGGAAAATGCTTGCCATTCCTAATACTGCAGCCAGCAGGGGAGTACTGCTTGCACGCTACGCTGAACTTTCAGTTCATGCAGGACATAAGGCCCAACATGCAGCTTGGAGAGCACTTAGATTGAACATGAGAATGCATTCCAGAAGAGCTTTGCAGCCACCAAGCATGGCCCCCCCCTTTTACCCTAGAAGCCTCAAGAACACACAACAGAAGCAGGTACAAAACAGTGGCTCAGTGGGGTGGACAGATATTTAACATAAAGGTGTAGGGTGCCTCTGAACAAATACTAAGCCAGTGGTGAGGAACTGCTAGCCAGTGGGTCTAATTCAGCCCACAAGGCCAATTATCCACCTGATGTCATAAGCTAAGAAATTTAATTTTGGTACCAGAACTAAGCTCCAGTCCTTGCAAACCAAAATCCACTCCTGCTTCCTTCCCCTCACCAGTTTTGTTTCAGTAGCTGTGAGAGCTCTTTGGTGCTGTCAAAGAGCTAGGATATAAGAAACCCTTGCTGGTCTACTGCAAGCCCACCCAGTAGGTTCTGATCTGCCTTCCATTGTTCCAGAACATGCCTCAGAATCCAGCAGTCCCCTAACAGATCAGTCCAATGGAGGAAATAATCCCTGAAGAGTCAAAAGAGTGAAAACCACTGGGCATACTGGGAGATTAGTCTTTGGACTTTGCTGAAGGCCTGTTTACACATCTTTCAATTTAGAGGAGAAACTCATGGCTGATTTGCATGATCTAGCTACACTTGTTTTATCAGAAAATTGTACTATTAAGTAAACATCTACCATTTATAGATTGATTTTGTTTTTCCTCATAAATATTTGAACACTTTGAATGACTAACCTCAATGTCAATACCTTGCAATATTAAACCGGTAACCTCACAAACTCCACACTTCATCACCATATGAAGTAAATGAAGCTAGCTAAAGCGGATGCTGTTAAAAGCAACTAACTTGCCATTAAGGATTATTTTATAGCATGAAATATTTTAGAATATTTATTCAAATGATTATTTTAATCTTGTACTCGGTTTTTTGTTTTGTTTCTAGATTTTGTGACATAAATATTTCAGTGCTGCTTTGTTTTGTTCTGATGGATTTCTTGTTTCTTGCTTGTAAATTGCCTTTTTTATGGTATAAATAAAGTCAATGGGAATTGCTGTTTATAAATTAAAATGCTTCTGAAGCACACATTCTGTCTTTGAATTCTGCTTTTTTTAAAAAAATTGGAAGACTATCAATGGGGTTTTATCTTCTCCTTGTGACTGGCTAAAATCATCATGAATCCAGACCAAATTTGGGTTTTCCTTGCCCAAATGATGTCACTACTGTCCAAAACTGCCTCCTTTTGTCCATATTTCCCTTGTAAAACAAACTTCATAACTCTATGGGGTAGTATTAGAATTTTACAGATAATACTAATTACAGGTGCTTAATTACTCACGCATCAGCACATATTAGTACTACACTTGGAACTTTTCCATTCCGTAATATTGTGCCATTTTTGTTCCAACACAGGTGGAGACTTGCCAGAACTTGTTAAAATGTGAAAAAAAGACCTAATCTGTTTTGGGTTCTTTCTAGTGTAGCCTAGCAGTGTGCAGTATGAGGTTTAAGTGCACTAAATCACAGTCTTTGATTTTTCAGGAGACTAACCCCTACGTACATTTGTATCAATAAAATCTTAATCACCCTGCCCCCCTTAAAGCCTGTGTATGTGGTGTTCCT